TAGGCTTAGCTCTTGAATCTGCCCTGTCTGCTTGTATAGATAGTATGAGGCAAGGATATACCCACATTTCCCTAATGCACAGCCACTACTCTGCAGGTAGGTCATTGGGCCATCCCGTCTGCCCCACCTCAGTCATACCTAGACTCCTGGTCTCTCAGGGCCCTGCATATGTCACAGGGTCTCAAATGCTACAGTAGTTTTACCTTAGCTCCAGGGCATACTCTGGTGTCTGAAAAGCAAGTCTCCTTTAGCTATTCCTGGAAGCTAGCTTAAGTGTGTCCCCAAACTCAGGGTTCCTGTGTTGGGAATTTGGTCCTTAGTGGTGCTGGGTGGTGGTGGAACCTTTAACAAATGGCTCCTGCCAAGCATGGTGGCCCATGCTTGTAATCCCAGCAACTTGGGAGGCTGAGGCAGGAGAATCCCAAGTTCAAAGTCAGCCTCAGCAATTTAGCAAGGCCCAAACCAACTTATTGAGACCTGGTCTCCAAGAAAAAGTAAAAAGGGTAGAAAAGATGGTGGAATGAGATGGACATCATTACCCTAAGTACATTTATGAAGATATGAATGGTATAAATCTACTTTGTATACAACCAGAGACATGAAAAATTGTGCTCTATGTGTAATATGAATTGAAATGCATTCTGCTGTCATATATAACAAATTTGAATTAAAAAAAGAAAAACTCTAAAAAGGAAGTAGCCTGTTAAAGCACAAGGAACATGTCTCATACTGATTACACAAATTTTAATTGCTTCAGTGACAGCTCTAATTGTCAAACAGCAAAAACAGTTCTTAAATACAAAAACTGTATTGTGAAATAAGATTAAAAAATATTTAAGAGAAAAAAAAAGTAAAAAAAAAAAAAAAAAGCTGGGAATATGGCTCAGTGTTTAAGCGCCCCTAGGATCAATTCCAAGTACCAAAAAGAAAAAAGTCTCCTTATGTCACTGAGGACACTGTCTTTGAAAGAGATTATGGTGGTTCTTATGACCCTGAGCCCTTAAAAGATCAAGTTATTATATAAGTGCAAGCCCAATCCCTGAATCCCTTTCTGGCCTCCAATTTGGCTATGTGTTTGCTTGCTCCCACACATGCTCCTGCCATTTCAATCTGCCCTGAGGTTATATAGCCAGACAGTTCTTGCCAGAGGCTGCTATTTTAGCACCCAAAACTATGTACTATAAACCTATTTTCTTTATAAAGTTAGCCTTTCAAGTCAAGTATTTCACTATAGTTATGAAAAACAGACTAATACAACAGAATATTCTAAAACCCTGATGGATCATTTCATGCCCCACCCTCTGCTGGCCATGCCAAGAGCTGTGCCAACCTGGAATTTTTTTTCTTTTTTTGTAGTGCCTTGAATCCAGGGTCTTGCACACTACATAAGCATTCCATCGCTGAAATAGACCTACAGCCCCAACATCCTGGAACTTGAAGCAAGTCTGTGTCCTTCCAAAATAGTGTCTCTACCCTGGAGCAATATGTAGTGGAAGACAGCAACAAGCTCAGCTCCTGAGGTAGCAGGGAGACCCAGCTAGGAGAAAGCTTATCACCTCAGTCATTTGTCCAGAGGCCAGAAATAATCAAGACCCATAGGGACAGAAGCAAGGCAGAGCCACCTAGTCTCTGGGACAGCTGGGGGACATGAGGGAGATACATGAGTGTGGGTGATAGCTTCCATGTCCTGGCATGGATGGTTATTTCCTGACTAGGATCCCTTTGTAGAATCCATCTAGCTAGATGCCAAGAACTTGTGTGTTCTCAATAGGTGTATTTCATGGCAGGAAAAAGAGTAATTTTCCAGTCCCAAAAGCTGCCATCAGAACTGATGAAAGTTTGCACACCTTGCCCTCTTCACCCTGCTAGTGCTGGCAGAAAAGGTGAGGGAGACAGGAAGGTGGGGATAGCTTAAGGTGAGCTGCCTGCACATAGGAGACTGGACAAGAACAGATCAGCCCTGGTAAAAAACACCTTGGTAGAGGATGGAGCAGCTGGGCTATCTTTCAACAACACTGTTTACCTATCACCCTGTGGCCCTTGAGGTGACAAGGAACACTTCCCTTTGTCAGCTAAAAAGGCAAAGAGGGCACGTGGCACAAGGGAAAAGTGCAGAATCAGGATGCAGCAATGACAGATGCAAGAATACACACACAAGGGAACAGAGATATTTTTACTTAGACACAGGGTCAGTACACATGGAAAAGTGGGGTTCACAGTTCCCAGCAAGATGGTCTTACCAGAGATGCATGTATCAAGACTCTGGACAGAGGTTATCTGAGCCCCACAACAAGCTGACCCACTTAATTTACACCAAGTAGTTTACAACATGTAGGGAGTATGTTTTACAGCTATCCAAACTCTGGAGAGGCCAAGAAAAGGTCAGAGTCCCAGAGACTTCTAGAGAGCAACTTAGCAGAGCTAAGCAGCCAGGTACCTAACTCCACTAACTGCCTAACTGCAATGGCATGGCTGTCACTGTCAGCTGTGGCATCTCCTGGGGTGGAGTTGCTCTATTGGTAGGACAGGACAGACACAGACATGTGATATTATGTGATATGGGCTTCCAGCAGCAGCCAACAAAGGAGGTAAACACACACAGAAAAGTGTCACTGTTCCTGGGACCTTGGCTGAGAAAGCCCTGACATCCTGAAATCCTCTGAGTGGCCAATCCATAGCAACACCCTACTCTCCTCTCATAACAGCAGTAAGAGCTCAACAAGCTACACTTTCTCATTTTAGCTATTACATGGCATTTTACCATGACAGATTTTCTACAGTGATACTCTCCCCTCAGATCTTTGCAATGTTTTAAGGACATTTTTCAGCCTTACATCATGATGTCATTCTCCTTTCATAGTTTAAAGGAGCAACACAAATAAGACACATCATGGTCATGATACAAAGCTTTGGACACAGAGTGACCCTTGCATCTCATACTTCTGGCAGGATACCTGGCTTCCCCACAACAGAAAGACAGGCTCAGCATTAAGGTAGTCCTTATGGCCTACGTGGTGTGTAAAAAAAAAAAAAAGAAGAAGAAAAAAGAAAAGAGGACATTCTTAACTGCTCAAAAAGGACAAAAGCTAGCACTTAAAAGCAAGCATGTCCAGGCCCTGTAGTCTGTAATCCCAGCAATTCGAGGCCAGGATTCCAAGTTCAAGGTCATCCTCAGCAGCTTAGCAAGACCCTTCCAAAATAAAAAATAAAAAGGGCTATGATGTAGCTCAGTGGCAGAGAACATCCATCCCCAGTATGCAAAAATGCACAAAGCAGAGCACGGTGGCATATGCTATAATCCTAGCTCCTTGGGAGGCAAGACTATAAGTTCAAGTCTAGTCCAAGCAACTTAGTGAGACTCTGTCTCTAAAAAGGGGGGACAGGGGCTGGGGATGTGGCTCAAGTGGTAACGTGCCTGCCTGGCATGCGCAAGGCACTGGGTTCGATCCTCAACACCACATAAAAATAAAGATATTGTATCCACCTAAAAAAACTTTTTTTTTAATATTTTATTTTTTTTAATATTTATTTATTTTTTTAGTTCTCGGCGGACACATCATCTTTGTTTGTATGTGGTGCTGAGGATCGAACCCGGGCCGCACGCATGCCAGGCGAGCGCGCTACCGCTTGAGCCACATCCCCAGCCCGTAAAAAAACTTTTAAAAATAAATATGTTTAAAAAAAATAAAAAGGGGGGACAGGGCTGGGGGCTGTAGCTCAGTGGCAGAGCACTTGCCTAGCATGTTTGAGGCACTGGGTTTGTTAGCACACATAAAAAACAAACAAAATAAAGGCATTCTGCACATATACAACTACAAAAAAATAAATTTTAAAAAGGGGAGTGAGGAAGTGGTGCTAAGAATGTAGTTTAGAGGTACAGTGCTCCTGACTTCAATCCCCAGTACCACAAAAAATAAAAATAAAAAATGGTTAATATGATACTTGTCAATGCACTTTCAAATGTCAGCAGGTACACCAGCCATCCAGGAGATGGAGATCAGCCTTTTTCATTTTTTAAGTGAGCATATATTATTTTTGCAGTCTAAAAAAGGAAATAGAGATGAAGGGGAGGGGAGAATCTGCACCAATAACCTCAAAGAACAGCTCAGTTGGTTCGGAATGACCTTTTTTTCACAGAGCCCATCACCAAACCCCTGGTAAGGACTAACAAATGCCAGACTCACCCATGTTGCTATGATGTGCTGATTGATACACTACCAAAGGATGGACCCCAGTTCTCACCCACCTAGAGTGTCAATGACAAGCATGGTCCCACTTCTAGAAATCCTCCAGACCTCCCTGTCTTACATCATTTCTCTACAGACCCACTCTCTCCACAGACATTCTCAAAAGTAGCACCCGTGGGCAGACATCAGGATGACAGCAGAGATCACCATCTGACACAGAAGGTAGTCATAGGAACCACCATCTGTCATAGAAGGTAGGGACAGACCCAGACCCCACAACATTGCAAGTGATTATATTCATCATGAAACACGATTGGAATAACAATGTACAAGTAAAGACATCAATGAAGCATAGGGGCAGGGCAACCCAGGCAGAGCTGTGGTAGCCAATCATCTTCATTTAGGAAAACGCTATTGTCATCAATCATCAGAGCAGGCAGATGCTCAGACTGAGAGGCCTGCAGTCCAAGGACATGCAAGTAACATGAAAACGTGGAACTGAGAACCCTTGCTATAGGGGCCCAAGGAGGTGAGAATACCAGGATATGTCACCCAGCCCCACCAGGGTGCTGGGATCCTGGGGATCCCAGAGGAGGCAGAGGTTCTGCTGTGCCCATCCCAGTCACTCTCCCCAGTTACTACCACCCCACCAGACAGATCACCTGATTCAGAAGTGCTCCTGGGAGGGGGGGGGCCAGGAAGAATAGAAGCACTGGGAGCCAGTCCTAGCTCTAAACGACCTTGGAAACTCCACCTGTCCCCTTAGCTTGAATTTTCTTCACTATAAAAAGGGTTGGACTAATAAATACTTACCCGAAAAAGTTACCCAGAGGGTAATTGAGCAAGTGTGAGGATACATTCCTAAGCACCACGCAGCTGCCTCTTATTGCTGCCATCACAACTGTCTCATGGAAGATGGCTGAGTCCAGAGTGGTAGCAAAATAGCAGTCAGCGGGTCCAGAAAGGTATGAAAGACCTGGCCCATGCTAAGCATGGGCTGTTCCATTGGATAAAGAGGCTCCAGAGGCTCAGGGACTTATCCAAGGGTAGAAAGTTCACTCCAAAGCTGTGACCCAGAAGGAAGCCAAGGAGTATGGGAGAGGTGCTGGTCCTCTGTGTCCATTGCCCAAGAGAATACAGGCCTAGTCCAGCAGTGGGACCAGGCCTGGTGTGGGTGAAGTCCTGCCCAGTCCACACCCCTGACTTCCAGGTAGGGTTGAGGTGGGGGTTTAACTATTCAAGACACCCCCGGGAAAAGGCCGCATCCAGGCACTGGGATGACCCAGCACTTGCTACTTACTCTAAAGGGGCAACAGCTGTCATCCTGCTGTGGCGCGATAGCATGGGGGATGGGCCAGCGTGACTCGGCTTCAGAGTAGTCCCTGACGCTGGCTGAGGCCGCAGCCTACCACTCTGCCGCGACCACGAAGCTCCACACCCCACCAATCTCAGCATTCCCTCAGCTAGTTTGCTCCTGTGTGCCAGTGGTCTCAACCTGCACGCTGCAAACGCCTTCCAGTACTGCATGGGATGCTTTCGTTGGCCAGGGTGGTCTGGTCTCCCTGGACCCAACAGAATCCCTGAGCCAGGCCGCCAGATTTCCGCACTACGCCTTGGAAAAGGGAAACTGAGGCACGGCGAAGAAGTGCAGCCCGCCTAGCCCTGGTGCAGCCTGCCTCGCCCTGGTGCAGCTCGGTCCCACCGTAGCCCCAAGAACCCTGAGTCCCCGATCCCCGGTCGACCCCGCAGGGAGCAGTGTTGTCCAGGCCAAGTCGCCTGCCGCGCACTCACCGCCTCCGCCGCCGCCGCAGCCGCCGCCGACTTCCGGGTACCGCGCCCGCGCGGCACAGTAGCCAGCTCAAGCCCCGCCCCACCCTCTGCCAGTGCACTTAGTCATTGGACTAGGAGATGAGGGGCGGAGTAGAGCACCTAAGAGCAGGGCCCAGTTGGCTCTTCGCGCTGTCGCTCAAGGGCTGCAGTAGAGCTGCGTCAAGTCTGGAAGCTGTGCTGGCGTCTGAGCGCCACGTAACCCCATGGTCTTGCTGGTCTCCAGGGCTCCTCAGCCAGCTGAGGTGTCTTCGGAAAATCGAATGTCCAGTGACCCTGTGCCCTCGCGGACACCATGTCACCTGTCCACCCTGCTCTCCTTCCTGGAAGGGGACAGGGATGCTCGCTTGCAGACCGCCCCCCTCTGACTTGGTCCTAGTCTTCCAATCCCTGTCCCCTAAACCCGACCTCTGGACTCATCCATGCTAGGTTCTAGACATCCTCTTCGCTTTCCCGCTCCAGTTTGCTTCTCTAGCCTCTGCCCCTCTCCCCACTGCAGCCCTAACTCCTGATGTTCCTTCATCAGGACACAGCCCAGACCCTTGACCAGGCCATTCAGCCACACCTGAGCTACTAAAGCTTTTGAGCCCCCATGTGGGCTGTTCTTCTGCAGGTCCAGGCCTCAAGGATGAGTGGCTGGCCCAGCTTGAGCTGTACCAGGTGAGCAGATGGGAACTCACTGGAGCTAGTCTCAAAAGGATAGAGACATTCCCTGGGGCTTCCTGTCCCCAGTATTCTCAGAGGTATAGCAGGGGCCTGAGCACTGCATAGGTAGAGAGTCAAGGACCAAAGGCCCAGGGCCTGCCCCAAAGTGAGTGTTCAACAAACCATGACAGCTACATTAAGAATACTGACAATGTGTTAAGAACTCTAAACCCAGTGCCTTAGTCTACGGGTTTTTAAAATATATATATATATATATATATATATATATATATATATATTTTTTTTTTTTTTTTTTTTTTCTTCTTCTTTAATGTAGTGCTGAGGATCGAATCCAGAGCCTCACAAGTGCTAGGCAAGCACTCTGCCATTGAGCTACAGCCCTAGCCCTCAGTCCACAATTCTTATTCACCCAGTTTACAGACATGAACACTGAGCAGTTATGCCATCCAGTTGAAGTCAAAATGGTGACTGGATTATACCCACTGGCCTGTGTTGAAGACCCTGATGTCCTGACCCTGACTTGGAGCACTGACACCCTATGGAAAACTGCAGCTCAGAGAAGCAAAGGCAATAATCTAACCCAGAACCACCCAACAGCACATTCTGCCCAGCTGTCTAGCTCTTGTTAACTGTATGCCTCAGGAACCTATAGAAGCCTTTCAGAGAACTCCAGACATTCTAGGACTCATGGCCAGTAGGTGGCAGACCTATCCAGACATGCAGCTCCCTTCCTATAGAACAGCAGCAGCACAATCCTGTTTGGCTAGTGCCAGCGATCTCCCTCTGAGCTGCCAGACCATACTAAGATATAGTGATGTTGAACAAGCAGGATCTGGGTCTTATAAATGAGTGTAAGGAGGAGGTGGTACGTGACTATGAGGTCATCACAAGAAGGGCTCCAGGAGTAGCAGGGTCTGATGTCCTTGAAGAGATGCCCTGTGACAGACTTATTAAATCTCCCATAAGGAATAAACCAAACACTCTCTGCCCAGCTACATAGCATCTGACTCAAGATGTTACCCACAGTGCAGCTCCACAGGAAGAGAGCTACATTGTTCACAGGGGCTCTTGAGTTCCAGGGGGTGATCCCTCATTCTGCATCCCCACCCCCAGCTGCAAACAGCATTCCTATGCCTAGATGCCAAATGGCTTTCACATCAAATGGCAAAAACAATGGATTGGTAGTGGCTGTGTCATGCTGAAATTGATTTATTATGACTGCCAGGACTCAGGGGGACCCAATGGTGGTACCAGTGGTGAGTTTTTGACCCAGGCCACTTCCTTTGTTCTGACCAAGCAACTTGGGTAAACAACTGGAGTCTCCAAATAGTTGGATTATTGTCTGGATTAGATCTAAGTGTACTTCCATTAGTCCTGTCTGCAGGTAAATTTGCTCCTCTCATGGTCTTGGGGAATACAAGGAACCCAGGAACTAGTCATCTCCAGATTCATCAGGGTAGGAAAGGTTTAGAACCAAATATGAGCCAGGTTCACTGACTCACTCTCCACAAACTAGCCCCACTGGATAACATTCCTGTTGGTTCCCCTGAAACCACAAAGGTAAGTGGAGCTGGCCTAGGGTTATCACTGCAGGGAGGAGGTTGGTGCTCTGTATGGGACGGGAAAATAAGACTTGTGCTGATCTCAGCAGGAGGTAGCCAAAGTCCCACAATGTTCCTTTATCACTCCAGGTAATACAGGAGAAAGGGGCACCAGGATGGAGTGAGAAGAAACAAAACACCCCATACCCGGGCTGAGAGTTGTGTAGAGGCCACCAGGAGGTGAAAAGGGGGGTCACAGAGGAACAGCAGGATGGTGAAAGCCCAAGGGGTCTGTAGATCAAAGCCTGGTGGGGGAGGTAGTTTACCAAGGACTCCGTTCCTGCCCTCTTCCACTCCACAGCCTCACTAAGCCAAGAACGCAACTCCGTCTGGGCTGCAGGTGCCGTGGGGCGGTGAGAGTGGGAGAGTTCCAGATCCCGAAGTCGGACAACTAAACCCATCATCTAAAGCAAGAACCTCTCCGAGCCTCGTTTTTTTGTCCCTAAAATGTAAATAAAATGAGGTAAGTAGCAGAACTCTCCCTCACCGATTATGTGAGGGATACAATTAGACGGTAGTAGAAGGGATCTGAGCGCAGCGCCCAGCGCTGGAGGATACCTGCGAACTAGGGTTGGTGATGGACACAACACTGCCGGAGTGTAGGGAAGAGTCGCCGGCCGTGCCCAATCCCCGCTTTCGAGGCCGGACAATCTGAGAACGTCCTCAGAAGACGGCCTGGAGGGGGCAGTCCCGAGCCCCTGGCCGCCACCGCAATGTTCCAGGCAGGTGCCGGGGCCTCGGCCTCTCCGCGAGGGGGCCGGTCGTTGGCCAAACTGACAACCTCGAGGGCCAATGGTAAACCGTCTTCTCTGTGCAACGGTCCAATCGGCATGGGCTGCCGGGCTTCTCGACCAATGGGAAAATTCTCAGATGGGGCGGGGCAGAGGGTCGAGTCGCGGGCCTGGGCAGCTTTGCGCACGATCCGCGCGAGGGGCGGGGAGGGTGGCTGACGGGCTGAGCGCTGGGCCGGGGAGGGAGGGGTCTGCTCCTGCACCGGCTCAAGTTGCGGCCCTGTGGACCGCGACCCTCGCAGCGCCCTGGCAACGCCTCTCCCCGCGCGCCTAAAGACCCAGGGAAGCTCGACTGGAGGCGGAGACCGCGTTGCGGAGCCGCCCACGCTGCGCTCCAGGTAAGCTCAAGCCGGTGGGCGGGGTCGGGAACCCGGGGCTGGGGAGGAGGTTTGGAAATTCACGTCCGGCTGTGCTGAGGCGGGGTCTGGGACCTGGGGTGCGAATAGGACAGGAGGAATGGGTTCCTGGGCCCTGAGTCCAGGTGCACGCGAGAGCGGGATTGGGGGGCGGGGGGGGGGCGGTGGCCAGCCCCACCTCACCAGCTTTTTGCTCTCACCGTCGCGCTGGAGTCTCGTGGCCCGCGGGGGCGGGTCCCTTTGTGCGCAGCCTCTGGGCTCTGCCGGACCCGGCCGGGGCGCCCCGCGTCGCGCGCCCCAGCTGAGTGATCCCAGCTCCGCAGCGATGTCCACTCCGAGCGACTACGGCGTCTCGAACCCGGGGCCGGGCGGCTACGGAAACTTTCCAAGGGCCCGAGGGGCGGCGAGGCCGGGGAACTTTCCAGGGGTGGTGTGCCGTAGGGCCTCAGCCTGGCCAAGAGGATGTTCCCGCACCGTGCTGCTGCTGCCGTCTGGGGAATAAGCGAGAGACACCGCTGGGGATCCCTGTCTGGTATCCCGGCCTGGGTCACTTCCCCACGTCATCCCTGCCACCTTCTCTGTCGGACGAAGGTCCTGGTTACTCTGAGTGGTGTGTAATCTGGGATTGCTGAGGAGTTGCCCAGGGCAGGAGTCTAAGTTCCCTGGCTTTCCCATTTTAACTCTTTAATAATTCAGTACTGGGTTACATTTAATCCTTTCTGATTTGTGTTATCTATCAGATTGAATATCGAACTAAAAAACTTTGGCTCCTTCCCTCTAAATTCAGACAAATTCAGACCCCTGGGTGTCAACCTTTAGGGTAGGTAGTCTCTTCCTCGCCCCCCACCTTTCTTATTGGCAACATCCCCAGCCCTTTTTTATTTTTAAAATTTGAGACAGAGTCTCTAAGTTGCTGAGGCTGTCTTTGAACTTGTGATCTTTCTGCCTAAGCCTTCTGAGTTGCTGGATTACAGGCCTCCTCAGGCTTCCTCCACTACACTGGTCTGGTGATATGAGCTAACAATCTCAGGTGGTCATGCACATTCCACATTGTAATGCACACCCCAGAATGTATTAGCCCAGAGGGTGGAGTGATGAGCAAGATGCCTCTCAGGGGAAATCATCACCTGAATACCAGCCAGAGGTACACTGGGAACCTCCAGCCCCTTGGTGACTATAGCCCTTCTGCCTCTACTCCAGGATCCAGGCTGTGGTCATAAAGCTGGTCCATTCAGAGCAGATGCTGCTTATCTTGTGCTCCTTGTATCTTTGGACCTGAGATAGTGTTGGATACCAGAGACAGAGTTCTCTGGTCCAGCATTGTAGAGCCATGTCCAGTCAGTTCCTGAGCAGGTAGTACAGGCTTTGGGATCTGGAAAGGCATAGACTTTTCCCCCATCCTTGTCCCATCCCAACTGAGGTGCCTGCTCTCTGCTGTCCCCTAACTTCATACCTATTTTCTGTTTGGGGTGCACCAGGGCCCCGCATATGACTGAGCACAGAGTATTTACTAAGCACAAGAACTCAAGTCCAAAATTGGTGAGGAGGGTGATCCTGAGAACAGCCTCCCCCTGGGTTTTTCTAGCTGGACTGCCTTTGGGATTTGTGTAGACCCGAGGACCTGCTATCCAAAGCTGGAACTCCATTCAGCCCTTTGTCCTGCTTAAATTCTGTTCTGCTCCCACCACCTGTCACAATTAGACTGCTTGGTTCCCTATGTTAGCTCTGACACCCCCTCTAGAGGTGGACCTTCAAATCTCTTCCAAGTCCCAGAGGCCCTTTGCATTTCTCAACCTCCCTCATGAGAATGGGGCTGCAGCTCTGTTTGTGCTTCACAAGGACTCAGGGTGAGTTCATTTCACACCAAGAGGCCTAGGGGGCACAAGGCAAGCCTGGAGTGGGAGCAGAAGTAATGAGATACCCTGCAAGGAGGAGCCAGGAGCTATGCCAAGGATACCAGGCATGTCTGGCCAGCCCCCACATCTGTCATATTCTCTAACACAGGGGGAGGGGGCAGAGTTTCAGTTGGAGTCAAGGCCCACTCTGCCAGGAATGGAGAATGGAGGAGTCCCTGAGGCAGCACTGCAAGAGACCAGGTAGGCCACAAGAAAGTCTAGAGACTTCCAGACAGTAACTCCTGTTGAGAGACAATTTATGTTCTTTTACAACAGGCTTTCATTAAGGTCAGGATGAGGTTTTAGGCCACTCTGTAAGAACCCCAGAATTAGGAAGATAGAGGGTCAGAGATCCCTTTGTGGACCTTCCAGCTAAGGAGCTCACCTATCAGCCTGTTTCAGGTTGAGAAGATATTTTCAGAATTGGCAGACATACACACACACACAAGTGTCTTCCTTTCTCCACTGAGTCATTCACTGGCCCTTTTCACTGCTTCTGCCCAGTGAGGGGCTGCTGACCTCTTGCAAAGCAACTAGGGGCCAGCCATGGCCACCAGAGGGCAGCTGGGATCATGGTCATGGCAGACAAGACCATCTTCACTCAGTCTCCTTCTAAGGACTAGAACCCTTCCTGAGGTGCCCACCTTGGAGGCCAAAGCTCTGCTTCCTCTGGGCTACTTGTCAAGAATGTGGATCTGGAAAAGAGCCAGAGATCATGGGGCAAGCCCCTTGGTGCCCCTTACACTTGGATGTAGACTCCAGGGCCAAATGGTGGGAACAGTGAAAAATGGAGCCCTGTGCTTGCATGGCCCTGAAAGGCCTCTTTCAGACATGCACCCCAGCCACTTTCCCAAGCCTGGTCCTGTCACCACAGCAGGGTACAGGCATGGGTTGTACCTCAGTGTCCATATGATGTTCTCAGGGTGGTAGCTGCCTAGAGGAACACATTGGTTTTGCTATGGTGGACACCATTGTCATTGGGAAACATGAATCTCCCCTGTTCAGTGGTGGCCAAGGTGTGGTCCATAAATATGCCCACCTTGGTTTCTGGAAGAACATATCCCCAGCTACTTGTATTCAGTTCCACCTCTGCTCACAGAGCAGGTTTGGAGGAGATCTGTTTAGGGCTATAGCCTACCAAGTTCACACTGCAGCCATATAAAGCAAGTTCTCAGACCTATCTGATCTCACTTGGCCATGGGTTTTGTGCCTAGCATGCCCAATCCAGATCCTGTCCCCACTGTGGACTCAGCTTGTGACCATAGGAACTGCCTCATGCAGTTCATATTCTTAGGACTTGTAGCTCATGGTCTGGTTGCATGACTGGTCCTTGCAGCCTGGGCTGGGCTCATGCCCTAGTCTGTGTGTTCTGTTTGGGCCACAGATACTGCATCAGAGCTGTAGACCTTCCCAGGACTGGAGGTGGTTCTGTGGGGAGTGGGCAGGGGCTGGTAGTACCCCAGGGCTTGGCTGTAACTAGGAAGTTTGGTGAGGAGTCCCAGCATGGAGTGGCCATGGTAAGGATAGGACCAGGCCAACCTATTTGTTGGATGAACCATCTGACAAGGTTGGTGGCTCTCCTAGCTACAAGATTCCTGTTTCTGTGTCCTTGACCAGATGGATGACCCCTGAGCCTATAGACTAGCCTCAAGGAGTGTTGAAAGGGTCTTCTCAAATGGGTATCTCCTACCCCCTTGTCACAATTCTCATCATTAGATCTATCTTCATATCTCTGTCCTGTCATTTCTTAAATCACTTCCTCCATCCATCTACTGCCTCAGGGCTTCCAGCAGGCTGGCTACAATCATTCTGCCTTGACCTCACCTGTATGAAGCCACTATGACAAGGACACTCTTAAGACCGAGACACATTCCTTCTGGCTACCACTATTTTGCCTCCACAGTCCCTTCTTCCCCACCACTGCTCCCACCACCACCTCTGAGGCACCTTGCAAGGCAGGAGCCCCATTCTTCTTGAGAACGTGCCATCCCCAGCTGGGTAGAAATTATGGGGAACTCTGGAGACAGGAAGATCTGAGCTCAGATGTTGGTCCAATCACTTTCTGTCCTGGACCTGGTTTCATCATCTATAAAATGAGGTGTTAGCTCTACTCAGGGCACCTAGGAGGAATCAGTGAGATGTTGGCAGACAACTTGCATTGCACAAAACAGCGACATATGGCAAGTCCTGAGAAGAGACTGTAAGATATCAAGGTTGATGATAAATTCACACAGTTCTTTGTGGGACAAAATTGTTGTGAATATTTAAACTAAAAGCAAATGTGTCCCAGAGATGTCATATTGAGAGGAGGGATTCCTGAGCCTCAGACCTCAGGATAGGAGCAGCATTTTTATCTACTGGGGTGGAGGATATTAGGGGCTAGCCCTAAACCATGCCTACCTGCTGCTTCCAGATAAGTCCTTCCAGGCTGGTCTATACACAGATGCACACTAATTGTGCACATGAGCATGCACCAGCTTGGAGCCCCAGTTTGTTCCTGCCTCTGACTTCCAGGTCCTAATCCCCTAACCCTGCCCTGACCCATGGCCTGTTCCCACTCCTACACAAAGTTCTTCCCCATGATGAAGGGGCTGTTGTGGACAGGGAATGTCATCCTTGGCACACCCAAATAGATCACATCCACACAGGTTGGATAGAGCCTCAGAACAATCTGGAAAATACCATAGAGCAGAGGCAAAAGAACTCCCATCATTATCAGCTTTCTCCTCAGACATGGCTTCCCAATACCCTCCACTCAGGTAGAAGAAAGTGCTTCCCAACCAAGGCCATCCCTCCCTGCCTGTCTATGCCATTCTGGTTCTCATTTTTACAACATGGGTGCTTTGGCAGTCTCCAGGTGTGGATATAATGAGAGGGAATGTGTCCCCAGGCTGTTGGCTGAGACAGGAAGTGTGTGGTTCCAGGACTGTGAGATGTGGCCTATGTGAGGGACAGGTGCCACCTTGTCCCCATCTTGGCTCCATACAATGTGGTCACCCAAGAGCCAGGTCCCAGGTTGCACTTGAACATAACTCTGGGATCAGTAGCCTACCTGCCACTGGTATCTTATGGACTGGGGAGCTGCTGCCTATTTGGGAGAACAAAAGATCTGGGCTGGCCTCTGGGAGCATCAGGCAGATACTATTCCATAATACAGGAGTGGACTCTAGGGTAGAAGGATCAGGGCCATGCTGGTGGAGGAATTGTAAACACCTGAGTAGGCCACCAAAACTGTGGTCCTGACTGTCTCTTGTGCGGGACTTCTCTCTTTATGCTTCTTATCAGGATAAAATGAGCCCAGCCTTCTGGAAGGGGAAAAGAGGTCACTATCAATCCACACCTCTGAACTCTCAACAATGTTAGAAATACAAGAGGGGCTGGGAATATAGCTGAGTGGTAGAGTGCCTACCTAGTATGCATGAGGCCCTGGGTTTGATCCCCAGTGCTACAGAGGGAAAAGAAGGAAAGGAAGGAAGGAAAGAAGGAAGGAAGGGTGAAAGGAAGGAAAGAGAAGTTGACTTGATATAAACTAGGTTCCAGCGACATTGGGACGAGAAAGTGCACACAAGTGTGTGGTTATGAGTCAGGAGCACTGCAGGATGACCTTAGGGTTCAGAATGACATCATTCTGATTTGGAGATAATTTGGACCATTACATCTTAATCCAGAAGGAATTCACCCTAGCCGGGGTAGCGTTAAACAGTGCCCTCTGGTTTCTCTGCAGGAGCCAGAGTCCACAGGATGGGCATTAGGACATGCTGATCTCCCATAGAGACAGGTAAGTGGCCTGGGGTTGGCCTGAGCATATCTGTTTCCCACACAGGACAGCATAGTCTTGCTGAACCTGGCAGGTGTGGTCAATAGAGAATGGATGGGCACTGTCATCCATCCTGGTCATCTTTACCTTGGTTGAGCTTTATAACCTTTTGTATAAAGGCTGGATATGGCAACCCCTGCTGGATTTCCTAATGGTCCCAATGTGGGCAGCAGCCACCAGTTTGATGTCTGACTTGAGGACAACCCTCTGGTGGACCCAACCTACCAGATTGATGGTAAGTATTGATTAGGACATTAGCTGGTTCTGATCCCCATCCAGTTTGGCTTGGACACCAGCCATTGCAGTCTGGTGTTAGCACAGCCGGCCCAGCCTTGTGTTCATCTCAGCGTAGCTCCTAGGAGATTGGAGCACCTGGCTGGTCATAGCTGATAGGCCTCAAGGCCAGCTTCCACAGACTTTGTCTGAAAGAGGCAAATAATGAATATTGCAGTTTTTCAGGTTTTTGTGGTCTCTGTCACAGCCACATTACTCTGCCATTGTAGAGCAAGAACAACTGTAGACAATTTTAGCAATGATATTCTTTCTTTCTTTCTTTCCTTCTTTTTGTTTTTTGGTTTTCAAACCAGGGATTGAACCCAGGGGTACTGAACCACTGACCAACACTTCTAGCCCTAGCAAATGATATCCTGCTCTGAGCACAGCTGGGGGTTATATGTGCTGGTCCCTGCCAGTGGTGTTATCTGTGTTTTGAGTTCATCTGTTAATTATAGCTCACTGAGATGTGGTACTGGGAAGATACAACAGATTGTAAGACCGAGTGATAATTATGTCCCCTATACCTTTTGAATAGAAGGGACTCCCTGATGGCACTTGACACCCTGTCAAGAATACTGCTGTGATGGTTGCTGTTGGGCAGAATGGGTGATTGGTTACAAAAAGTATTCCTAGTTACTCTTGTTCCTCCGGTACAGATGCCCAGTTCCCAGCCAGCTATCTGCCCATTTCCCTACCTAGTGCTGTCTTGGGAGGCTCAACTAATGACAGCCCTGTGGATTCTTAGTGACACTTATCACCCAGTGTGGAAGCCTTGCCCACTGGTACTATGCTTGGGAGAAGGTGGTAGCAGCAGACCCAGGAACCCCTAGGTCTTTGGGTGTCTGAGTGTTCTGTACAAAGGGATGTAGGGGAAGGGAGAGAGAGGGGTCTGGTTTCTCATTCCTTGTTCCCAAGGACCTTGGGTGTGGGAAGTTGCTGACCAGGCCAGCCCAGGTCAGCCTGGGAGGAGCTAAGTCTATTGCTGACTCCTGTGTGGGAGGACCAGTATCTGGCCAAGTATTTCAGTGCTCAGGCCATTGACCCATACAGGGGATTCTGGGAAGAAGAGGCTCAGGCTGTGTCCAGGGCTTACTGAGCCAGAGTGTCCAGGACTTGGGACATAACATTGCTTGTGACAGAAGGTAACAGTGTCTGGAGACAACAGCGTGAGGAGAGAGTGGCTCCCATCCCCCTTAACTTCTTAGGGAGGCCAGGTCAGATGTCATCTCTAGTAACAAAGTCTATGGGGGCGCGGGAGCTAAACACATCCAAGGCTACCTGGCCCTTATCACCTGATTTTCCTGCCATTGCTCACTCCTTTCCTGTCCCTCTATCTCTTTTCCTGCTTCCAATTCCTGGTCTTCTCCTCATATCTATTGCTCTGTCTCTCTCTCTCTTTCTCCCCCTCTTTTTCTTTTTTCTCCTTGCCTCTACTTTGTCCATGGAGTGTTGTGATTGATTATTCATGTCCGACCTAGGCATTAGATGAATGGGTGATGGCATTTGTAGTGGACCACATTTCACAGACTAGCAAGTAGAAGCCAGGCCCATACTTATTAGTTCCCTGTTCTGCTGGGCCCCAGGATATAGTTCTGCCCATAACCAGGAAGGAGATAGGAGGGAGACATCAAAGCTAAGTTGAGATAGGGACTGATATAAATACACATGTGTGTCCTACACTCAGCTTTGATAACATCTCCCAGTCCCTGAGCCCCATGCCCAACATTGGGCATGGCAACCCCACCAGGCCCAGCCCCGCCCTTGAGAAGCTCCCAGTCTGGCTGAGAAGATGGATATCAAACAGGGAAGCAGTGGCTAACTGTGGGATTGTGAGATGGTGAATGGTGGGGCTTCCTGGGGATGGAGAGCTAGAGGGCCATGTGATGGGTTGGCATATGCTGATGCCAGGCCTAGGTGACAAGGGCTGGTGGGGGCCAGCCCTGGTATTTCCTCTCAGAAACAGGCACCCAGCCCAGCCTGTCCCTGTGCTGGGTTTCCCCTGGGGTCTTGATGAGTTTCTTAGCCCTTAATGTGAGCCTTTCTATATTAAAGATATTAATTAAAGATATAAATCATATTAATTATTTGCTCATCTCCCTGCCTGCTGAATATTTTTTGTTTTTGACAGTTTTTGATGTTCAGAAATTTTTCATACTTTGTAGCAAAATGTTGGATTTTTTTCCCTTTCTTTAGTTGTTCCATCACTCTGTGTATAGTCCTCCTCAGCATGTAGCCAGATAAATACATGTTTGTCTTCTCTTCTAGTAGATGTTTCTACTTTAGTTCTTAACACTTAGCATTTAATCCATCTAGAATTTTTTTTTCCATAAACATCAGGTGAGAGTTTAGTTTAGTTTTTCCTGTTGCATATGAACCATTTATTGCCTAATATCTTGCCTAATGTCACTAGAAGTTGGAAATATTTTGATGTCCTTATGTCCTCAGGTTTGCTATCACTGGTGACAGGCAGGCAGTCCCTAGTTACAGACAGTCCCTACACTCAGCTTTGATAACAGCTCCCACTTCCTGAGCTCCATGCCCAACATTGGCCATCGCAGCCACATCAGGCCCAGGTTTGCTTGTTACTTTTTAACTAAAAGACCAAGTAAGGGAGACTCCATGCCATCAGTCTTTATTCTCAATGTTTTGGTTGTTCTGCGTGTTTCTTTGAATGTATGTTGAATTACTGCAAGCTCCCCTCCCTGAGATCTCTATGGGACTCCCTTGAAACTCATGCTGCTTAAGCAGGCTGACCCTCCTTGCATAGGTTGTGGTATACTTGGGGCCCATTGACCAAGAGTAGGGGACTTGGTCCCTGTTGTGATAGGACCCTCCCTAGAAGCTCAGAATGTAACCTGGACCTCTTTGTAGGTGTCTAGCCTTTAGATACCACATTCTGGCTACTGTTAGGGTCATTGCAGGCCCCCAGGGTCCCCAATCCCTGAGCCATCCCTGAGGAGCTTGAGCCTCCTGATATCAGCTTGTATGACCTTTCACCTGGGGGCACCCCTTGACCAAGCAGCTTTGTCATGCTGGGAGTGTGGGGGCGGTGTTAAGCCAGTTGGCCTCATCTTCAGGGATCACCAACTTTGGCATCTTCATGATTCAAGGTAGAGGCACCTCTCTCACTCATGTTCTGTATGTGTCCCAGCCACAAGGGCTGGTGGACAATTCAGTTGATCTGGCTGCCACATAAGAACCTTGCATGACTGGAGAGCCTGGTATAGGCTAGCCAGGTACTTCACCTTGCCATCCCTTTCTCAGTATGATTTGTGACTAGTGGTATGGCCTATGCTGTAAGAATGGCAAGGCCTATAGTGTTCAGGCCATCAGATGAGGTGGCCTACTTATGTTCTCTGCCTAAGGGCTCTCCTGGGCAGTCTTCATAATGGCTATTTTGATGTCCACAACCCCCCCCCCCACCCCGTGTTTATAGGCCCCCCAGCGTCATTGTTGTCTTCTCCAGAGCTTCCTTTACTCCTTGTGCCCTTCCCTTGGACCTCATACAGTCATTCTGACTATAGTCACCTTCTAGCTGTTCCCTGCCAGGATTGTCCTAGGGGATCTGCTCATGAATGCCTCTGGACTCAGGCTGAGTGAAGTGCCTTCCTTCTCTCAGGCTTGGGTACCCTTTGTCCAGGCCTGACCCTCAGCTGCGGGGGCCAGCAGTCATCAGCTCAGCTCTGTGTGGTAAGAACGCCTCTGTGGAATGCCCCTCAGCAGCTCAGACTTGGGGATTCTGATTCCCAATTTTTTTTTGTGGGGGAGGGGCAGAACTGACCTGATCTTGACACTTTGCAGCTCTGAGTTGGCTAATATGTCTTTAGTTAAACTTTTTATATTCAAAATACTTTCACTGTCCTTCAAATTCTTATTAGGCCATTCCAGAGTCTTGCTTCCCTCTGTATTTTGTGAGATAAATGAGTCTGCAGAGATGGCTCCCTACTGTGTCTTCCCTGGGGCTGTCCTTTGTGCCCTGGAGGAAGGTGCTACATGCCCTCAGGGCTCATCCCAGCTGGTCAGGATCTTGGCCACAGTCCCTAAAGGGGCTTGAGTATACAAATGGGAAAACTGGTGCCTGGACCACTGAAGAATCTAGAATTATGTAGGCAGAGGAATCTCAGGCCCAGGCAAGGCCCAGCCTTCACAAAGCAGGTCTTCCTTCTCAAATGATCCACCTCCTACACCAAGCCCTGAGTCTTGTGATGCCAAGATGTGCCTTCTATTATCCACATCTAGGTGGGCCAGGCTCTCCTGGGTGTGCCCAAGAGACAAAGAGGCTAGCTGACAAGAGACCCAGTGTCTGAGGTGCCAGCATCCCTCTTTTTGCCTTTAATTTCTAATAGTAGATTTGTATGTGCTGGAAAATGTGGAAAACACAGAAAAGTAAGGAAAAGACATACTTGCATATCTCCACAACCCAGCACTGCCTGTCCTTTACCATATGGTTTTTATTTTCATTTTATTTTGTACTGGTAGGAATCAAACTCAGGGTCTTATGTGTGGTAGAACAGTTACTTTACCATTGAGCCACACTCTGCCTTGTGTTTTTTTTTGTTGTTTTGTTGGTTGGTTGGTTGATTAGTACTGGAGATCGAAGCTAGGGTGCTTAACCACTGAGCAACATCCCCCAGCCATTTTGATTTTTTAAATTTTGAGGTGGGGGTCTCATTAAGTTGCTTAGG